TTTTTTTTTTGTTTTTCTGGAATTTCCTCTGGTCTATACTCTGTAGAAGAGGGAAGAGATGCAGGTGAGGTGACGATGATCGATGCCAACAAATAGGAATGAGATTGGGTTGGGCCTAGTGCCTTGTGGTGGTTGTTTATTTCATTTTATTATACTAGGCCTTAAGAACATAATTTGGCTAAAACTAAAAAGAAGGGCTTGGGTAATTTATGTTTGTTATTTCAGTTCGGTTAACCGAGCATTTAAATCCAAACCGTATCGAAAACCAAAATTTTAAATAATACAAACCGAAAATCGAACCAAAAATTCGGTTTCGGTTTCGGTCCAAACCGAAATGTCGGTTTCGGTCGGTTAACCAAATTTTGTGCACCCCTAGACTTGACGATGTTTGATTAATTTATGTGGTTGATTATTGTTTTATCTTTTTGGAATTGTTCGTGTTATTTTGGATAATTAACCATGATGTGTTGAGTCTTATTTAGATTGATCACCTAGATTAGGCTTTTCATATCTATAGCTGAATTAGACCTTCAATTCGTAATTGTTGTCGTGTTTAATACATAAGAGGCTACCGAAAGACGGTTACTACGGGGGATAACACGGCCTATTTAAGTGAACGAACATGTCACTGCTTAGTCTAGCCTATTTTTCTAGTTCGTAAAGCAGCTAATTGTATTAAATCTTGAAAACGTTTTTATGGACTGTACAAGAAGTCAGGTTTAATCGTAGAGCATCTCGCAGTTAAATTATAAATAAGGAAAAATTCGGGTAACAAACCGTGTTCCTAGGGCTAGTAATTCCATAAGATAGCGAGATTTGATGCCAAAGTTGATTAGACGAGTCAGTCAAGGGTGTAGACAGAATCGTGAACTAGAAATTTCTTTTAGTTTATTTATTTTTATTTTTATTTTATTTATTTAATTAGAATCTTAGTTTTAATCTAATTCCCCCCTTTTATTGCTTTCATAATAATTTCAATTAATACAAGAATATCACAATTTGGTTCACACTCCTCGTGAGATCGACCCTTACTTGACACTACTACTAGTTAGTAGAGGTTTGTCGAGGAAAAATATAAATTATAATTTTTCCACGTTGCGACGCGCAGTCATACTACTTTTTTCTTTGTCTAAATTTTACATTTCGTTTGATTCGTCGTCCTCTTTCTTCATGGCCATTACTTCGGATCTCTTTCCAGATACTTGTCCAAACTCACAGCTCATTGACACGCCTATCATGCCTCCGTCTTCTAAAGTGGCTCCACTTGCGCATCCTGAACCGACACTTCCTGTTGAGTCCTCTTCTGATTTTGTCCCTTCGCCCACCATTGATCACCGACGATTAACCCATGTAAGTCGTCCCTCTTCTCACTTACTTGACTATCATTATTATTCGGCCATACTATCTCATCATGAGCCTAGTTCATTTCGTGAGGCAAGTGTTGATGCATTTCGGCAACAAGCTATGGCTGAGGAATTGCAAGCTTTGAAGAAGACTCATACTTGGGTTTTGGTGGATCTACCTACTGGAAAGGCACCCATTGGATGCAAATGGGTTATCAAGAAAAATTCAGATGGATCTATTGAGTTCTACAAAGATTGTTTGGTTGCTAAGGGGTACTCACAGGAGTACGACATCGATTATTAAGAGACTTTTGCACCAGTTGCTCCTCTTACTACTGTCGGTGTTTAATTAATGTTGTTGTTCATTGATGGTATATTCTACAACTAGATGTCAAGAATGCCTTCTTACACGGTGCCTTATCTGAGGAGGTCTACATGACTCCTCCTCAAGGGGCCTTGCCCTCTGGGAAAGTTTTTCGTCTACGTCGAGCTTTGAATGGTTTTGAAATGAAGAGTTTGGGTCAACTTCGTTATTTTTTGGATCTTAAGATTTCTGATTCCTCTGATGGCTTCTATTTGTCTCAAGCAAAGCATGACTCTGATGGCTCGGGTCGGTCTCACTGATTGTCAGACAGCTTCCACACCTCTTGATTATGATGTTCGTCTTACTCCATTAGATGACTCTC